CGGGATGCTGGCTGTCCCCAGGGTCCCCACGGATTCACCCTTCCCCAGGCAGGATCTGAGCCCAGCTTGCCGGCTCCGAGGATGAGGTTTGCAATGGGGGGGTATTGCTCTCCTCCTTCGCCAGGCTCTGTTTTTCAGCCTTTCACACCTGGGTGTCCCCACCACTGGCTCGGAGACCGCCTGGACCCTTGGCTGCTGCAGGAGGGATTTTGGGGACCCACTGCTGGTCCCCGCGGTGATGCAGCCCCTCAGGAGGAGAAGCAGAGCCCGCAGCACTCCATGCAGATCTCCAGGCAATCGGCCGACTCGCAGCAGGCGTCGATGATGCCGCAGTCCATGTCGCAGGGCAGGTCGCAGTCCGCGCACTCGCCCGAGTTGCAGCAGCAGCAGCAGATGCAGGAATCCTCGGAGGTGCAGGAGCCGCAGGTGGCACAGTCCAGCACGATGTTGCAGAGGGTCAGGAACTCGCAGAAGAGGCAGGAGAGGATGCAGTGGACACAGCAGTCTGCGGAGGAATGGCCAGAGAGTGGGCAGGGTGGAGGGGACTGGTTGGGAGAGACAGGACCCTGTGGAGAGATGCTGAGCCCCATAAGGGTGGGAATCCTCCCTTGGGAATTAATGGAAAGGATGGGAAGAGGGGCTGGGAAGATGGATGCTGAGCCCCATAGGGGTGGGAATCCTCCCTTGGGAATTAATGGAAGGGATGGGAAGAGGGGCTTGGAGCCAGGCACTGCTCCAAGGGTCTGCCTCAATGCCCAGGGATGTGCCCAGCTGCCTAGGACATGCCCAGACCCCAGGAGAGACCCATTTTGGAGGACACAGATGACCCTACTCAACACCCACCCTGGAAAAGGCTGCCAGGATGGGAACTCAGCAAGTGCCCAGATCTGGGGGTCCCGTTTGGGCTGGAAGGATGCTACATGAGAGACCCCAAGGGACGCAGAGCCAGAGGAGAACGGCTGGAAAGGGACCGGTCGGGGAGAGCCCGTACCTTCTTGTGCCTCAATAGGGATGTGGGAGGAGGCTGACTTGGAGCTGCCCTTGCTCTTCTTGCTGTTCTGGCTGTTGATGGAGTGGTGCGACTGCAGCTTTCGGTGGGGCTTCTGAGCGCTGGGGACTGGGCGGAACACCCCGTTCCCCGCCTCCCCGTTGGCACCGCCTGGACCGCCCAGCACCGTTCTGCAGCAGGAGGCTGGGGGGCTGCGGGGATGCTCGCACCTGGGGCTGGCCTGGGGGAGAGAACAGAGTTACCCCACTGAGCCCCCCTGAAGTGCTCCGCCGGGGGAGAAACCCCTGCTGGGTCCCCTGCCACCACACGGGAACCTGGTCCCCAGCTGGGCATGGGATGGCCTCACGGGTGCTGACAGATGGATGGGCTAAGAGGATGGAGATGGAAAAGGAGATGTGGGAGGAGAGACAGACAAGGGAAGGAGACAGGCTCCAGAGAGAGGGAAAACAGAGCAAGAAATAAAGGCTTGGCATGAAGGATGTACTGCAACAGCCAAAACTCAGCAGAGGACCTGGAGGAGGAGGTCTCAGGGGACCCAGAGCTGCCAGCACGGGCAGGAGGGATGAAGCCACCGAGGTGGACCGGAGCGGGTGCAGAGGCATGGCAATGCACGCTCACCTCGTGCCAAGCAGTGAAGAGAAGAGCCTGTGGCTGCTTCCAGCTGAGAGCCAGCCCCATGGCCAAGCCACCATCCCACCAGCCCTGGGCACAGCACTGCCAGCCAGAGCTCCTGCCCATCCCCATCACCCTCCATAAACCCAAAGGAGATGGAGCGCCACGGGAGAGCTGGGCTGCTCATCTCCCCAGGACTGTGTGAACTGACCACTTAATGAAAGGTCTCCCCAGCCTCTGGCTGAACTTCTCTGCAGGAGGAGGAAAATACCGATCTATCTGCTCTGTCTGCGCCTCCCTCCAGCCCCGCTCTGCTGGGGTGCTGCCGGAGCCAGTGGCACAGCTCAGCCCTTCGCTCCTGCCCAGCATCGCGTCCCTCCTGCAGTAGGGGACAGGACTGGGAACCCAGCACAAGGAGGGGAGGGGGTTCGAGCATCCATCCCCCACCGCTGCAGCAATGCCAACTGAAGGCACAAATAAAATCCCTCCGGACGGTGCTTTGGCCAAACTTTGATTTTCCTCCGCCGCCAGTAAACAAGGGATGATTCAGGCGAGAGGCTGGAGGGTAAAAGGCATCTCACCGCCGGGAACAGGAGCTGCTTTCTGTGCAGGGTGGCCGCAGGGCATGGGGGGGACCCATGGGGTGGAGGGGGGCACAGACGGTCCCTGTTCTGCACCCGCCCTCACCGGCAAAAATAAAATAGATGGAGGTTAAAAAAACACAAGCGCACGGACCCAGCGTCCGGCTCTGCCAGGCTGAGCTGGGCTCAGACTGCGGAGGGAGGTTTAACCGGGTGCTGGGGGGAAATGCTGGGTCTTTGATGTATCCTGGGAAGAGCAATTAAAATAACTGGAGCCGAGCTGGAAGCAGGAGGACAGAGAGGAGAACTGGAAAACAGGTCTTGGACTAAATGGGAGGTGTCCCCCCAAAAACCAGCTCCTGGGGGGAGTTGGCTTCCCTGGGTTTCTCTGGGGTTCGCAGCAGCGTGCGGCACGCTCGTGTTGGCTTTCTCCATTTCGCTGCATTCCTCAGATTAAACTGTTTGTAAATCAAAATCATACTCCGGCTCCGAGTGGCAGGGAGAGGCAGGCAGTAATCCCCCCCTCGTTAGGAAAAACTGCTTCCATTTTTTAGGAGAGCTCTTCTAAAAGACACATCTTCAACCCCAGGCTTCAATGGAGCTGTGTCCAACGCTCCCTAACAACACGAGTGTCAGGGCAGGAGCGGGGGGGTCCAGCCCCCTCGACGGCCCCCACCGCATCCACCCAGGGTGGGAAAGCGCCTACCTTCAGCTTCTCAACAACCAAAACCCTCCTGGACGTTCACTTTGTGTTTCACAACCCAGACGATGCTCCCCAGCACAGCTGCGGTGGCGATTCCCCCGTGGCAGCATCACCAGGGCTCGGTGGGCAGATGCCCACTGGTGCTCACCCTGCTGTCACCCCCCCAAAACCGGCCAAAGCCTCTCTTCCCGAGCCGCTAACCCATCTTGGCCAAACCAGCACATCGGGACCCCCTGAGCGGAGCCTGCTGCTGGGCTGAAACTCAACACCCCGAGCCCCAAACCCGCCATCTCCACTCCGCTTGCTCCTGAATTACAGAAAACTTATTTAAGAACCATGGCAGGATTTGACCGGCGGCGCTGAGCCTCGGGGGAGCTGGTGAAGGACACGACTCTACACATGCAGCCCCCTCCCCAGCCCTCCCTCCTGACCCTGCAAATGCCAGGCTG